CCCCGCCTCCCCCGCCGCGGGCCGCAACAGGTGCCTCCCGGAGCAGGAAGCTCGCGCCGCAGCCGCCTCCGCCGCCGCTCAGCTCCCCGGGCGCGTCCAGCAGCCGCTGCGCCAGCGCGCCATCCCCGGGCCCGCGTGCGTCCCCGCAAGGACAGCGACCCCGCCGCTGCCGCCGCCTCTCGGGCCCGCTTCCTGCCCCCTTCGCACCCCCGGGCGAGGGTGCCCAGGAGCAGGCCGAGCCGCGCTCGCCCCCGGCCCCGCCACCCTCCCGCCGCTTTGCGCGCCATGGACGCCCCGGAGCCGCAGCCCGACCCCGACGGCGGGGACGCCCCAGGCCACGAGCCCGGGGGCAGCCCCCAAGACGAGTTCGACTTCTCCATCCTCTTCGACTATGACTATTTGAATCCTATCGAAGGTCGGTGGAGGCTCCCCCGGCCTGGCCCCCTGGAGCCCGGGCGGGGGCTCGGGCCTGCGGAGTGGACACAGGACCCCTCTGTGCTCCCGATGTCACACTTCCCGGGGCGGGGGGGGGGGTGGGGTGGGGGGTGGGGAGGGAGGGGTGCGTCTCCCCAGGTGAGAGGGAGGGCACGAGGCATCTGGGACTGCTGCCACCCACCCTTAGGGGGCGGTAGGCTCACTCTTGCCCAGTAGGGCGTCAGTCTGCAGCTACTCGGCTCTCCTCCCTGGGGGTCACCGTAGCCGAGCAAAAGGTGGCAAGGGGTTCAGCTGGCCCCCAGCTGCAGGGTCGTCGGAGGGGAAAGAAAGTGATTTGCCTCTGGACAGAGGCGGTGGGGAAGCCAGAGGATGGAGTTAGCAGGGAAGGAACCGGGGCACAGAGAGGTGGCAACGGATTCTCCTCTGTGAACAGCGCCTGGCAGCCGAGTTTGTTGGGAACTTTGTGCTGAAACTAATGAAGAGGTTGTCTGCGCCTTCAGACGCAGGAGGTTCAGATGCTGGAGGTTGGCGCGGCTTCACTGTTAGGAAGCCTTCCCGTTTCCTCCCTGGTTTCGGCCGCCAGCTTTTGCGAGTCCCCCTAAAGGGATCAGTTTGAGCTTTGTTAAACAGTGATCCCTTGCCCCGCTGTCCTAATGGATGTGGGGTTCGGGGAAAGGCTGGCCTGCGGATTGGATTCAGGCAGAAGCCTATTCCTGCCTAAACTAGCTGTCAGTGTATGTGCTGAAGGGCCCTCTGTGGCTGGGGACTTCCCCAGGCTGGGCCGGCGCTCTTGCTCACCAGGAGCATTTGTCAGAAGGAAAGGAGGTCGCATGCGGAACCTCGCTGTATTTTTCTGGTTAACAGGTTGTCTTGGAAAAAAACAACAAAAAAAAACCCACCCAACTGGGCTTCCTGATTTTGACAGCCCAGCCCAGGGCTTGTCAAAGCCTCCGGGGCAGGCCTGTTGGTAACTTCCAGATGCACAGGGGCTTGGCCGCATCCGGAGGGCAGGAAGGGGTTGTGTAGGAGGACTTCTCACAGACATTTGGGGGCTTGGCGTTTCCCAGAGATGCTGTGCTAGGCAGGCGAATGAGAACTTTTCACTTTCCTTCCTTCGCTGTCTTTCACTGACCACCTTAGGTGAGGGGCTTTTGCTTTGACTTGGATACCAAGTGAAGGTGGTAGTTGGTGATCGTTCTGAATTTTGGCTGGAGATGGAAATAATTAGCAAGCTAAAGAGACCAGTCTTCTCGAGTTGCAATCTGGAGGCCATCCTTTGCTTTGAAAAGATACAATTAAGAATCTGCAAATGATCCCTTTAAGGTCCCTTTAACATCCATGGTCTTTGTTTGGTAAGATTAAAGTCATGTTTTGCAGGGAACTAATACACCCCTCCCAGATTCACAATCAGCTAACTTTTTTTTTTTTTTTTTTTGCACGGGGGAGATTTCCGGGGAAATAGTTTCCAAGCCAAATCTGATGGGAGGTGCTTTTTATAGTTTTTTTTGGCAAGTGGTGCTTGGTGGCCGCCAGATGGGTGTCTAAATGGCCACAGTGGAAGCCCTGGAATCATTAAAAAAAAAAACCAACAAACTTTATTTTTTTGGTAACAGTTTTGGATTCACAGAAAAGTTGTCAAGACAGTACAGGGAGTTCCCATACACTGAGCACCCGGGGCCCCGTTTTATTAACATCTTATATCACTTTGGGTATATTTGTTATCATTCATGATCCGCTATTGATGCGTCATGATGAACTAAAGTCCATACTTTATTCAGATTCAAGGGGTCTTTGTTATTTTTTTTTTATCTTTTTGGGAACTTGAGTTTTGAGGAGCACCGGTTAGATATACCGTAGAATTGTGCCCGACTTAGGGTCTTTCTGATGTTTCTCTCCTGGAAGGACTTGGGGCTATGGGTTTTAGAGAGGAGGACCACGCAGGTGAAGTGACTGTTTCCATCACATCATCTCAAGGGTACGTAGTATCGGCTTGATTGATCAGTGTTGATAATCGACCTTGATCAACTTGGCCACAGTAGTGCTTGTCAGGTTTCTCTGTCGTAAAGTTACTCCTTTCTAAACTTGGCTCTTGGGAAAGAATTTCCTATGTGCGCCACCCCGCCCCCCTTACGGAGTGGGGAGTTTGCTCTGGAATCTGTAAATAATGATTCCTTGCTGGGAGCACAGAAGCATCATGGCCGAAGAACAGAGCGGGTGTGAGCCTTGAGAGGCTAAGCGAGCTCTTCCAGATGTGGGTCCGGCTCTGGCTTACCCGGATGTTCATGGGGTCACCTCTCTGCTTCTGAACGGTGGCTCTCTCCAAGGGCTGCCACTAGCCTTTAGCTTGCTACTGGGCTTTGTCCCAGGCGACAATATATTGGCGATGCATGTGAGGGCTACCCTTAACTCTGTGCGTGAATGAGCTTGGCAAGAGTCCAGGGAGGAAGGAGCCCGCTAATGGGACCGACGTCAGAACTGGATGACGGGACTTACGGATTTTGGGTAATTCGGATGCTTGTTTTATGGAACTGTAACATTGTAGCAGATGCCTTTTAGCTCCTGTAATAACGCGCCAACCCTAGCCAGTGGGCCCTGTGGTCACCCTCATTTTACAGAGGAGGCACTGAGGCACAGAACGGTGGAGGAATCTTCCCAAGAGAGCAGAGCCGGTAAATGGCAGAGTTGAACCCTGAACCTGGCCATCTTGCTTCAGAGCCAGCATTCGGAACCGCTGTGTGAGGGTTCACTATTCCTTTATCTGATGAGAGTTACGTAGAGCCGTTTGTAAAGGGCCTGGCACTTTGGCAAGACTGGAGTTGAAAACATTTACCACCAGAGTGACCCTGGGCAAGTCATTTAACCTCTCCGGACCTTGGTTAGCTTATCTGTCGAAAGCTGAAATACTACTACTCTCACAGGATTATTTGCCTTGAATGGCTTGACCTATTTAAATCAATACAGAGTGTGATTTGTTGTGAGCATTTTATTAAACCCTTGGCTTTGTTAATGGAGGTGCTCAGTTAATGTGAGCCGTTATTCGTTTACTCCTCCAGCTAACTATTGAGCACCTATTGTGCTGACCCTATCAGGAATACCTCGCGTGTCACCTTCGGGATCGAAGTGTCTGTATTTTAATATGTTAAGGAAGTATCCACCCATTCCTGTTTTCTTGAGAGTTTTGAAGAGGAATGAGAGTTGAATTATGTCATAGACGTCTTAGGGTCTGTGGAAGAATACGGTTTTATTCTTCTTAGATCTCTTATGCTCACTTACATGAGACTTCCTAATATTGGAACATTACTGCCTTAAACCCTACTTGGTCACTGTGTATTGTTTTCTTCTAGTGGTGGGGCTGGTGTCTGATAAAATCTAAGATTCCTGTCAGTGGTATTCATGAGCAGTACTTGTCTGTAATGTCCTTTTTGGTGTGTGGTTTGGATTTCTTTACTTTTCTATGCTCAGGAGCAATGGATGTGTTGTTGGGACTGTCGCATTTCTAAAGTTGGGATAGAATTCCCCCATGAAGCCATCCGGGCCTGGTGCCTTTTTACAGGGTTGGGCTAGGATTGCTTTCTCTATCGTGTGTGTGGGAATTAGTCGGCTTGCACTTTGTCTGCTGGAGTCCATTTTGGCACCCCGTATCTTTCTGAGAAATCATCCACTTCATTTATCTAGGTTTTCAAATCTGCTTTAGAGGCAGGCAAAGTAGACTCTTCCTATATTTCACTGTCTCCCTCGGTTGAAAAAAGTAACAGAAGGAATGGGGACCACGCTGTGGGAGCCCTGACCTCTGCTACTAACCTCATCGTGGAGGGGAGAGACCTGTACGCGTTGTCAGTGGACAGATGAGAAGCTTCATTCTTTAGTGTGTGCTTGTGAATTCAGCGAAACGAATTATTCTCCCAATGTGTAAAACCCTGGGAGGGCTGGATGGCCACTGGGAGTCCCAGTCTCCTCCAGGGTGCCACATCTCCTCCGGACCATCAGGGACTGACTCCTTGGGAGTGATCACTTCTGGGAGGCCTCAGTGGGTCTCATGTGTCCCTGCTTCACTTCCTTGGAAGCGAATGCAAATGGCACCAACCTTGACCCTTCAGAAAGGCAAATAGACTCCTGGCCATTGCTTGTAGAGTCTGTTCCGGTGGCCCTTAAACTTGCTGGGTCACAGCCCTTGGAAAAGCGGACAAAAGCCACCCATCCTACATGTACCCGCTGTAGGAGTGCGTGTGCACAGGTATCCTATGTGTGCATGCCGCACGTGAGCATAACCCCTGCACGCCCCCTTCTGCCCTCCACGTGCCCTTTAGACCATTTTCAGGTAGAGTCCCAGACCCCACTGTAGTCCCTTCCCTCGTGTCACCTGCCCTTCCACTCAGGAACACCTGCTCTTACCCCATTCACAGGGGACAATTAAAACCTGATTCTTTCAGCAAATACTCCCTGAATGCTGGTTTTGTGCCAGGCCCCGTGGGGGTGTAGAGACCATCAGATGTGGTCCTGCCCTTGCCTGGCCCCGGGGCCGATGTGGGACAGGGCCTGGTAAACAAATAGGGACAAATGAGGTGCTGGGATATGGTATCATGAGGTGTTTTTGGTGCTTACTAAAAATAGAGTTCTACCCTAAGCAAGCAGTCTTGCTAAACACATGTGACATTCAGAGACATTGCCGTCTGCGTCGAATTAAGGACAGGCCTTATTAAGCCTGCTTTGTACAAATAGCGTCTCCAGGTGCAGCTGGAAAGGTGGAATGAAGGCGAGGACTGAACGGTGGCCTTGTCAGGGAGGCGAGGGAAGTGGGGAGAAAGTTGCCCTCATCATTCTTCACTATTGAACACCTGTCATCCACGCTTCCAAACTAAAGGCCCTCTGTTCTTGAGGTGACCGGGAGGGAGGCTCTTCAAACCTTGGAGCAGTGTTATTTGGGTTGGTTCCCAAGGCCTTCTAATCCTGTAAGGGGATGAGGTTGAATATATTTGAAAA